AGCAATCTTGTTTTCTTGCTTGGGGAAAAAATCTTCTCTTCACACAATCCCACACATCCCAATAAAAATGTTAGTTTGTTGTTAGTATTAGACACTGTGGTATTAAAATAATGTTTCACATTTCATACTTAAACATAAATTTGTATAAATGTTTTTATTTTCTTTTTTATATACACGTATCTTCATTTAAAACAGATTGAAATTGGTTTTAATAAAAGAAGTGATATCACATTAAATCTAGAAAACTGGTTGTAACTTTATATACATGAGGGCAAGGATTTGTATAATGATACTATACTATACCCGGATGGGTTTTACAGAATAGAGAATAATGTGCAAGTAGTGCAAACAAAGAATAGAGAAAAATTGGCCAACAAAGTACAGAATAGAGAATAATTGGTTGCTGAAATAAAAAGTATAGAGAATAATGGACAAAATAAATAAAGAACACGAAAAAAATGGTCTAAAAAATTAATAATAATAATATGAATGACCCCCCTCTCCATATCCAGACCCTCATACATGTACATTGTACAAATTTTGAATTTCAATGAAACCTATGATTATTGCCCTATGGACAACAATTCTCAAACCTTTTACTCTTTTGACTATTACAGGTGAGATTTGATTTTATATCACAAAAAAAGATTGGGAAGCATTTGGAATATTCATCTATAATGTTATATCAAGGTCAAAGAAATGGACAATCCTTTTCACTATAGTTAAACAGTGACCAGGTCTAGTATAGAAAGAAGCAACAAACATGTTTAAAACGCAGAACATATATAAGTGTACTACCTGATATCTGTGGTGAACTGTAGAGACATAAGCTGATTTTGTGAGGACACCATATAGGTATTGCCATATTATTTTCACATTCAGAATAATTAGTATTGATACAGACTCATCTCTTCCCTATGGACATTTGTTCAGAAAGAACAAATTTATTCCTGTGGGATCTCCTTATATTAAAGTTAACTGATATTAAAAGTTGCAAAACAATGAGAAAAACATGTTGAATTTTTACCACTGTTTATTCCTTTATCCTGTCAATTACTTTTATGCCAAATTATTACAAGATTTAATTGTTCAATGATTTAATATCAATCGATCTATATCAAGTCTAGCAATAATAAATGCATAATATTCCTCTGGCGTTTGAGAAGTTCGTGTGCTTGCGATGACCTGTTCATGGCAGGAATTAAACCTTATCAAAATGGTCCCTTTTCATGTTACCGACTTTTGACTCCGAAGTTTATAGTATTTCGACAGGCTATCTACTCTGTTGCTGCATATCATATTTCTTTTTATTTATAGTTTTGTACACAAATGAGATCGTTAGTTTTCTCGTTCAAATTGTTTGACATATGTCATTTTGAGGTTTCCATATTTGCTATGCGGTACGGGTTTTGTTCATTTGTGAAGTCCGCACGGTGATCTAAAGTTGCTAACATCTACGCAATTTGGTCACTGGTTGAGATTTGGCCTCATTGGCAATCAAACCACAAATTATTGTTTTAATATTGACATGCCATGGCAACAAAAATGACTTTATACAAACAACATTATAAAAAAACAAAACAAAGTAAACTAACGACAGAGCAACACGAACGCTACAAAAATATCGGGTGACGGGTGAACTTGGGCGCTCCGGATTGGAAAGCAAACCCTGCTTGACATGTGACACCTGTCATCTTGCTCCTGTATGTTGACATTTTGTGATAAATCTTTTTCGGAAGATCTTTTTTCGAGAAAAAGAGGACAGGATTAAGATTACGATAATCAGATCATCTCCGTCGTCATCTGTTAAACAGATGTTCAATAAGAGAGGGACGAAAGATACCAGAGGGACAGTCAAACTCATAGATCGAAAACAAACTGACAACGCCATGGCCAAAAATAAAAAGACAAACAGACAAATAACAGTACAGATGACACAACATAGAAAACTAAAGACTAAGCAACACGAACCCCACCAAAAACTGGGGCTGATCTCAGGTGCTCCGGAAGGGTAAGCAGATCCTGCTCCATATGTTGAACCCGTCGTGCTGCTTATGTTATTACAAATCTGGTAAATAGTCTAATTCGGTAGGTCACATTCGTGAAAAGGGAAGGGTATTGTAGTTACGACATAAGGAACATATCCAATATCATCTGTGAAACAGTTGTTCCATAACGGTCAACCAACTCGTGATGGCGTCCGTAAAATTTACAAAGGGATGATTTCAACTTCATCATTTGGAACTCTTGGTCTAATAGCTTTCTTGTGAGCAGCAATCCTCTGTCAAAGAAATCATGATAGGAAATACAAGTCCATAACGGTCAAGCAACTGGTAATGGCGTCTGTAAAATTTTGGAAGGTATCACTTTAACTTCCCCACTTGGAATTCTTTATTCATTAGCTTTCTTGTAAGCAGCAACTCTCTATCAAGGAAATCATGACAGGAATTGCAAACCCTGGAATATCGTAACACCTGGGCGATATATACTCCGTACGCAGGTGATGCTGAAATGTTGCTACATAGAAAAGGAAAGTTCATAATTGTGAAGCTGAAATCATCTCTTTTTTCGTAAAGGGAAAATTCAAAAAAGAGGATGTTCATTAAATCGGAAAAAAATCAAACGACAAACCATATCAAAAAGCGAACGAATGGATAACAATTCTGGCATATTCCTGATTTGGTTCTCTCAAGACAAATGTTCATGCTAGCTGCATTCTATTTTCCCTAAGAAGCTCATGTAGACAGCCTCATATAAATAAAAGAATAATGTCAGTTTCAGAGTATTTTTTGTTTGAATCCGAGTGGGGTTTGTTTAACAAAGTATGATTTGTCCCTCCCTTACACAAAACTTTTGTATCTACGTTGTTCTTTTTTATGACGCAAATTAAGATCAATTCTTTCTGTCTTTAAGTATACTTGTGTCAAGGGTAGAAAAGTCAAATGCTTTAATACTATTGCAAGATGAAAGCGTCTTAGATTAGATTATATGTACTCTAACAGATCTTTAGAAAGTTTAAGTTTCCACATATGATTCCCACCGCCCCTAGAATACGTAGGTTCTTCGTCTGTTATTGAACTTCCAAAGAAACATAGAACATACCTATGATTATTCAGGATCCCCCTCTGATAAATTTCGTTGGGTATATGTTGAAGGGATAATAGGTGTCTTTTTCAAGGTTTTAAAGTAGTATTTCCAATTGATGGATTTAGTTTCACAATATTCCGGGCCTTTGCGTAACAAATTTCGCAGAAAAGTGTTATTGAGAATGTCCAGGTCACCATATGCATTAATAACGTAACCAGCCGGATTATATATGAAAAGGGAACTAGCAATGGTGCAGTCAGGAGATTTAGACTTGAAGTCGTCAATATAACGTCTTTGTAATTGAAAATAATAGTCACCATTCTTTTTGTATGGTTTAAAGAGATGATAGGTCTTTCAAGTATAGAGGTATTTTCGATTGAACTGATTTATGATGTAGGGTATTGCCTACGTTGATGACATCGATACCTTTGTTGCCATATTTCTTGATGGACAAGAATAAAAATAATAAAAATACAATTATACTAGATACCATAATAATCATTCAAGTTGGTCTTGTAGTTTCAGAGAAGAAAAATTTCCGACGACGGAAAACGACTGGCGACAGAAGACGACGAACACCGTGTGATGGTGATAGCTCATACAAGCCTAATAGGCCCAGGTGAGTTTAAAATTGATAGACCTATAAATTATAAAGATGATTCAAAGATATTTGTAGCTACAATTAGATTCAGAGTTTTGCACAATGTAGATAATGATATACGGTCGAATGGTGCCCCCGAAACTGATGATCTCCAACCGATGGTATCAATACCACTGGTAATTGAATCAAAAATGGGAAACATCGTCTACGTTCAATACATAATCCTGAATGAAATTTTACAAGAAGCGCTTAAATTGTTTGGTACAGTAGTAACCTCCAATTATCCAAATTTTACACAATTTATCGATACAAGATTTAATACACAAAATGAGCGTTATAAATCTTGAAGATCCTACTTATTGTAACGCGTTCATATTTGAGATGAATGGGCAGTAGTTATGAATGCATCATACTGTGATCTATATAGTTATTCACTTTTGTCTTATATATGGTTTTTCATAAAGGGATAATTGTATGCAATTTCATCATTTATGACATCCTGCTTGACGTTTCTTCTTGTTATTTCACGTTTTTCATAAGGGGGACTCTAAATTTAATTAACAATAGACATTGAAAAAACTTGATACTGCATCTCCCAAGTCATAAAAACCTACTCTGTATTGCATAAATGCACTTGTCACATAGTGTCAGGAGAAAAATCAGCCACAATATACAGAAGGAAAAAGTGAATCAAGATAACTCAATATAAATAAAGCAACGGTAGTGTACCGCTGTTCAAAAGTCATAAATCGGTTGAGAGATAACAAATCCAGGTTACAAACTGAAACCGAGGGAAACACATCAACTATAAGAGAAAAACAACGAAACAACAGAAACACTGAAATGCAACAAAAACAAACGCCAACATACATAGATGCGAACTATTTGATAACAACTGCCATATTTCTGACTTGGTACAGGACATTTTAAATGGTGGGTTGAACCTTGTTTTATGGCTATGTTAAACAATATAAAAAATATAAAGCTAGGCCATTAATAATTATCCAGGACACAATGTCAACAGTAAGTTGAAATACAACAATTCACCTTTTTTAATATCTTAAACCCTTAGTTCGGCACAGCTACCAGGCAAACGATTCAAACAAAAATTATTTGACAAAAATCATTATTTGTTTACTTCTATGTACTTTTGATTGATAATCTTCCATTGAAAATGTTATTACAATGCGTTATTAGTGCAGAAGGTTTTAAATCTTTGATGATTTTTCTTTAGATTTAGGCGCGAATCAAACTATAATGATCATACAGATAACATTCATATTACCTACATCTGATATCATGAATAGACTTGAATAGATTATACACAAAGCAAAAGTATATCAACTATGTACTATACGGAAGAAAGTGTATACTGAATATGTACTATATTCTTGGCATTATGGTGAAATATAAGTTCAAATTGGCACTATGTATCATGTTAAGTCATGTAAGTATTAATATTGAGCATTTTATATGTTAAGATATGTATCATTCAAACCACTTTCGTTTTCTATATGACTAATGCATACCTGGACAAAATAAAGTATTCGTAGCATTCTTGCAACGTAATAAACTTTTAATGTTGTTATACTAACTATTTAAAGTTGCAATAGGATAGGTGTATGTCATAGTTCATTTGCTAATAAAATGCACTCAATATAAAAAAAAACTATTTATAGTACTGTTATGTTTATTTTTAAAAGTTCATATGCCTATACCTTTAACATAATATCAAAACTCATAACATAGTTTTGAATTTTAAAATGATAACTATTCTACAAATGTTTTTAATTCAAATATTTTAGTTTTGTTAATATCGATCTACACTATGTCTATTTAAACGTAGCGTTGTCATTTTAGCGGTATTTTTAACATTGTCATATAAACGATAGGTTTGACTAGCCACAAAATCAGGTTCAACCCACCATTTGTTCTTAAAATGTCCTGTACCAAGTCAGGAATATGGCAGTTGTTATCTACTGTCCGTTTCTATGTATGTTGACGTTTGCTTTTGTTGTAGTTCAGTGTTTCTGTTGTTCCGTTGTTTTCCTCTTATAGTTGATGTGTTTCCTTCGGTTTTAGTTTGTTACCCGGATTTTTATTTGCTTAATCGAATTATGACTATTGAATAGCGTTATACTATTGTTGCCTTTATTTAAGTCTTGAATGTAAATGTGTTTTTAAGTGTACATATTTACTATCTTCAATTGTAATAGTTATTCTAGAGAAAAATATAACATGAAAGTTACACTTGGAATCAAAATCTAGACACATTCAAACATCGATTGACTTCTTCTAACTTCAAAGTTCAATAAATCACGAAAATTTTAAATAATAAAGGACATCTATTTTCTTTAAAATTTTAATAAAAGTATACCCAAAACCAATGTATTTTTCTGCACCAAGGAAATTTGAAAGGCAGACTAAAAAAAGAACATTCGTAATAAACTGCAAGCAAAGTCTCTGAAATGTAAAACTATATAAATATAAGAAGATGTGGTATGATTGCCAATGAGACAACTCTCCACAAGAGACCAAATGACACATACCTTAACATTATTTTTTAATATTATAGATATTAATTGGATGTGCGAATACTAGTGAATACGACTTGAAATGTCCAGATATGTCTCAATCGCACTTACGAGCACTTGGTATTTGTCGGAAGTTCCCTACTACATTCTATGCTTGCTTACTTGATACCAATTCTGGAAACTCTAAAGAGTCGTGCAACGAAGCGCCAGATTATTCTTCTCCAGGTAATCATCTTCAAGAGTCTATTCAAATAAAATGAAGCAGTAAATAAATTTTTTTTCTAGCAGGTTACTAATGTATGCATATTTCATGACTGAGTATTTAATGAAAAATTTCTTTTTGTTTTTAAATAATTTAATTTTGAATGTAACGCGTCTTCTGATTGGCTGACGTTGTTTTGTTTATCAGCTCATAGACATAATTTTGTCATGTGACCGTGACGTCATCAACGTTTTTTCATGGTTTACTCAGGTTTAAAATGGAATTTAGAATTAAATTATAAGAAATGACAGTAATATATTTTGCTGTCTATTCGAAATAACATAAAAAATGTGGTGCACACTTTAAAATAACCCGCTACGCGGGTTATTCAGAGTGCACCACATTTTTGATGTTATTTCTTCATAGACAGAAAAAATATTACAGTCATTCCTTAAATAATTTGTTGTCGTATCAAACGATTTTATGGATTGTCTTTTATGTATGCATTTGTTGTTAGTCGTATTCAGCTAATCAACATCTACAACATCTACAAAACAAATAAAAAATCTCAAGTTTGCAATTCGAAATTACTAATTAAGTTTACAATTCATGATCATTCATAATGAATTATTACATTTTCTACTCCGTATTTTTAAGATATTTGGCTGTTGACTGTTTGCTATGGAATTTTGAATGGAAAGGGGGAAGAAGGGGAGATAAAAACACATTTAAGTCAAAGAACGACAGACAGCATATTTGCCAAAAGTAAATAGCGAAAAGACAAACAAGTAAAATACTTCCTCTTAATCCCATCTGTTTCCGGACTGATCATATACACACATGCGGAGGGAGGGGTGGGTTCAAGGCAAGGTTTCTAAAACAACAGTCTTCAAATGCCAAACAGGAAACTAAACATTGAGCAATACGCTCAACACAACAACATTTCGGACTGAACTATGGGAATCGAAAGGCAAAATGTATAATAGTGAGGACACATGATAAAATTAACATTTGTACTAAGTTCCATGTTGATGTGACTATTGCGTGAAGGTAAATTACCTTAATCGAAAGCTTATACCTGTTAATATTAGAATTTAATGCTATCACATATGAGTTAACTTTGAAGCAACAAATTCGAAATTCTTGGTAGTTTACCTAAAATCTAATACGGAACGAACACAAAAATCTGAAGACCTCTTTAATCATAATAGGAGGGGCATGACAATTACAAAGGTTGTAAGAATAACAGGATAACTTTAATTGACAATTAAAAACCATATATTCAGAGAACAATTGATGGTCTTTCCACCATTGAATTCCAAAATCATTGATAAGAAGTATCTTCCGGTTTACTCAAAGTTACTACTGGCGTCAAATCATAGGTTTCTTCATTCTGATTCCAAAAATATATGGTTTCTTTGTACTTTTGGCTGAAATAAGGGAGATCATTAGCTATTTTCGGTTAGAAACATATCACTTCAAGTCTCATCTGATATCTTTTTTTCCCACTGATTCCAGAGTATATGGTTTCGATATATCATATGATAGGGTAATGCATGCCGACTCAAATTATATACTTTTTCTATGATCCAGCTAACCAAACCTTTAAACAGACTTAATCAGAAGGGATGTAGTTACGATACTGTTGTTAGGGAATTAAAGATGGCATATTCTAGTATTAATATTGATTCACTCATAGGGTCTTTGCATCGGAAATAAACACATTTTTCTAAAACCAGTTGTTGGCATGATACGGGTTATGTTCTTCTCATATATTTTATGATGGTATGATACTTAACCCCTAACGGTAGGGATTGTGCTTGATTTTCATATGATGAAGCCATAATATTTCAATCAGTTTAATTGAGGTCTGGAGCTGGTATGTCAGTAACTGCTAGTAGTCTTTTTGTTAGTCTTGTATGTTTTTTGATTTTAGTTCATTTATATGTTTTGGAGTTTAGTGTGACGTCCAGTCTCACTGAACTAGTACACATTTTTGTTTAGGGGTCAGCTGAAGCCCGCTTTTAGGGTGCAGGATTTTCTCGCTGTGTTGACGACCTATTGGTGGCCTTCGGCTGTTTTCTGCTCTTTGGTCAGGTTGTTGTCTCTTTGACACATTCCCAATTTCCATTCTCAATTTTATTTTAAACATTGTTACTTCCGGTTTACACAAGGTCACTTCCGGATGACATTTTCAAAGGTATAAAGTCTCCAAACCTAATGCAAAAAATCCAATTTGGCCTTGACCTCAATTTCAAGGACATAAAGGAAGGATCTCAAATCAATACACCCTATGTTTCTACTATTTAAACATAAAGAGATCTGGTATGAATGCCAATGAGACCACTCTCCAACAAAATTCAAATGAAGTGGATGTATGGTTCATAAGTAATATCTCCATACAACTTATTTTAAACTTTTCAGGCGTGAAAACTCCAACCAAAAGGGACGGTTCTCTTTCGACCAAAATTTAAAGTTACGACATGTCGCAACAAACAATTTATTGATCAGTTGTATATTTTTAATCTTTACTGTTTTGTCAATTTTTGGTAATATACTTTTGGCGTGGCTCGGTATTCATACATCCAGTTATTGTGCTATGATCATCTTTTGTATTCTTGTCTTTCATTTATGCTTATGTATTTTGTCTATAGAGTGTCTATATGCTATTTTGTTTTTCTTTGTTGAAATAGTTATTTGTTTTATAGTGATTAAGATTATAACACAATATTGACTGCCTGTTGTACCCCAATTTTTGACAATTTTACCTATTATGTCTGTTTGTTTTGCTCACATATTGTTGTCAATATAATGGAATTCTATGCGACTGTCATACAAGTGAGAGGTTGAGCTAGCTATAAAACAAGGTTTAATCCACCATTTTCTACAAAAGGAAATAACGGTACCAAGTCAGAAATAAGACAGTTGTTTTTCATTCGTGTGATGTGTTTGAGCTTTTGATTTAGCCATTTGATAAAGGACTTTCCGTTTTGAATTTTCCTTGAAGTTTGGTATTTTGGTTATTTTACTTTTTGGTTAACAATTTTGTCATTATTTATTACGGTTTGTATGGAAATACGAAAACAATCAAAATTAAAAATTTAGTAATGACCTTGACCATTGACCTTCACCTCAAATTTCTTTTGGTGCACCAAGAGCATCAAATCAAAATACCCGAGATCTCAATAAATGACAGTTCATGAGTAACATTTATAATTATATATCACTATGTCAAATACAGAAGGGAAAAAAACCCTCATATGGAGTCTCCGTATTGCTTCGGTCGAAATTTAAAAAAACGTCCCGAGGATTTAACAAGCAATTTGGATAAATTAATTTGTCGATTTCTTTTACGGTTGCTTAGGAGTAGACATAACAAGAAAAACAGTGAACGGGAAGATAACCCTCACAAGAGAAAGTGTACTGTTACACAGGGTCAACTTCGAAAGCATATTTATTGTTCGTTATCATGTATTAAAAATCTTTTCGATATCTTAATCTTTGCGAAACAAACACAAATCAAACAAATCAAATAATGATGGAAGAAAAAAAAACAAATCGAAAGGTCTTTACACAGGAAAGTGGAAAGACCTTATTGTGTACAAATAGTACATTTCATGTACAACCTAAAAACTAAAAACTTGATACTATATCAGCAGTTGAAAGTTCATATTCTTAAATTACAGGTGAAAAATATGTAATATCGGGGGCTCGTACGACTGTTTCCTGCTCTTCAGAAAAATATCAACCATTTCTACTTTGGGCAAACAAGAGTAGCGATTGTTTATATAAGAAATCAAAATGTAAGGAAGAGGGTCAGATCGAATCCGACAATAATTTAGCAATAACAGATCAAACATGCATGTGCGATCACGCAAAAGACTTTCATTACATCAGTAATCCTACAGACCAATGTGCCTGTGTGCCATCAAAGGAGGATTGTTCATGTTATTATGATCCAAGACGGCGTCTTAAAGTATCATCAGGTAAATCATTGGGAAATAGTGAAATCTATACATAACAATAAGTGTATTTTTTGCACTTGTTGGATTTAAGCTCTTATGGCCCTCATGCAAAATTTTTTTTTCAAAATTTGTGGATAAAAAATAAGAAAATATTTGAAGGACCATTCGCGTTATAGATCCAACCTATGGTCTGCAATAATCAGATAAAATCCTAAACATATTACGAGAAAGAAGCGGCTCACTAATCAAAACAGATAAATAGCATATTCAGATCCAATGGTCCGTTCATACACAACCTCTCCTTATTTAGATTTCATACGATTTCCACATTGATTTAATATAAGTTTGTATATTCAGATCATTTTTACCATTACTTTAAATCGGTAACTTGCTGTTGTATCTTAAATATACTCGAAGTGATGCAGAATTCAACATTTATTACAAAAAACTTACTATTTAAAACTCACAGTTAATCGGTCGACCGCTAGATATTTATCTTATATGTGTATTGTGTTGTTGGGGTCTCTAATCTTTCATTTGTTTATAAATGTTAAGATTTCTACGACAATCACTGACGGGTTTCTAGTTTGAGGCACTGACATGTATGTACATAAACGAGGCGGGGTTAAACTAGTGGTGTATGTTCTGTAATTTGATATATCTTAGAAGGTGTAATACCACCATTGATTGTCCCCTATTAGTCTTTGTTAAATTTGCACTTTTCAGAAAACTGTGCAGATTTTATCTTTGTTTCTATAGAAAAAATTTCACATAGCATTTCATTGCATATAAAAAAATAACCATCACTGGAATTTAACCAATCAAATTTTCCCCTTTATAACCTGTGTACAAGCTGTAGTAACCATGTAACCTCAAGTTTCCAAAATATTCTATAGAAACCCCAAATAAAAAAATAATGGTGCTTTTAAATACCAAAGATATATGTTTATGACCCAGAAATGTTTTACTGCAATGAAGTGTAGGATTAATTACCTACAACTGTCAAATTCAAGGGAATATTTTTTTCGACCTATTTTCGTATGCTACCGGATGTGACGTACAATGATTTGGTGGTATTACACCTAGAAGTTAAATTAAAAAAAAACGGGAGACAAGTTTATCGATTGAATACTATGAGCAAATTAGTTTTTGTTTCAAATCAAACAATCAAATGTTTGTACTTTATAGATCATTTATGTCTGCAGCCTCCACAGACTACTGATCATCTTGCTGTCGATTTCCCAAGGTAAGTGATATACATGTATAATAGGCAGAGAAAATGGCTTAAGAAAATACTGGAAACCGTAACAAACTGATGTCTAATGAAAATACTGTACTCTTTAAAGAGTAAATCCTTATTACACTTGGAATGATTTGTTTTATTTCATAGTTCTGAAATTCAAGTAAGCCCACCAGAAAAAATCATCAAAGATACCTTTTGTAAAGTCTCTGATCTGTGCCCTTATTCAGTGTTTATTAGATTACTGTAGGAACAGTTGCAACAATGTATATGTATGTTATCTAAAATATACAGTTGTGGAGAAACAATAGTGCATAGCAGTTCTTACAAGATTTGAATTGGTCAGCCAGTAAACCCAAAGCAACAACTCTCCGATAGAGTCACGCCATGCCAAAATGTTTTTTATTTTCTTGGGAGGGAAGTTCTGTTTCACTCGGAGAAGAACTTTTATTTGTCATTACTACACTTTTTGATTAGTGTTGATGAAGTGCATTGAATACCTCTCCACCGTATTGTTCATTTTCTCGACAAGGCGGAATTTCTCCCGACTTCTTGAAAATATTTTTTGGGATAAAGGGGAGAACTCTCATAACAACAAACGTAAATTTTCCCGTTGTCTGTTAGAGGCGCAGATTTACGTACCTCTCACCTTAATTTGAAAATATGTATAAAATAAAAGATTAACATGAATGAAAACATGAACATGTAGCAATATTAAATATTCCATTCAATGGATGTAAGAATTGATTCAGCCTGTGGTAGATACAGGTCGTTAACAGATGTTTTCTCATTCCTTTAACAAGAATCATGTCAATCGAAAACGAATGTCAAAATCATTGATATCCAAGATACTACTGCAAACATATGTAAATTTAATCAGCTGATGAATATGAACTCCTACTTTTATTTATATATGACAGTGAATTAGAACTGGGCGTCTACGGTATAGTTTTATAAACGTTAAGCAAGCAAGTTATCTTTTGTTTGCTAACCTTGTTTACAATCATTATTATTGTAGAGAGGACGCTAAAAGTGACCCAGCAACAACCGAAAGACTTAAAGCAGGTAATATATTGTATTGGTTTCCATGGGAACATCGGCCTCTTTAATCAATTATGGATTATGTGATTTCTTGCTTTTTTTTTGTTTTTGTTTTTTATTTTTTAGTTATTTATTTTTTATTGTATAGTTCTCCTGAAGCTATAGTATGAAGCAACAAGGGTAAGCAGATATTCAAATCTCACAAATCGATTTAGAAGATACAAACCAACGTTAAAAAAAATTTGCTGTGGATGTTCTGGTTTTGTGTCATGGATGGATACCCCATATCCTTTGTTTTTCTATTATGGAAATTCAAGATAATTGAGGTATCAACCATCTAATACTGAATATTGCATAAAGCCATGAATATAACACTTTCGAAATTTTATGCGTCCGAAGCGAAGCGCATGTCTTGATTTACCTTCACCAGGATCGCTAAAAGCCAAATATTTGAAAGCTAAGGATGTAGAAACACCAAAACACGAGAAGAGCTATATGACCAAAAGGAACATAATTCTGTTGACAGTTATGATTTTTCTACTCTCTACACTACACTTCTACACAATCTTCTCAAGGCAAAGTTTTCATATTTAATTAAATGGTCTTTTGAAAAATCTCATTGCAAATTTATTTGCTGTAACTCGTTTAGACTTTTTCTGTAACTAAAAAGGAAAGTATGCTAGATACACTTACTGGAAATGTGAAGATATGATTGAAACCTTAAATTTTCTCCTGGACAACATATATGTACGTTTTGGCGATAAAGTGTATCAACAGGTAATATGTATTCCTAACTGCGCCCCTTTAATAGCAGATTTATTCCTGTATTGCTATGAATCTCAGTTTATGACGAAACTCAGTAAAGACACGTCATTGTTACATTTGGTTGATACATTCAACAATACCTACCGTTATCTTGATGATATTTTTTCGTTGAATAATCAAGAGTTCTCTAAATATACTACCGACATCTAAATCTAACATAAACAGCAGTAGTTGTCCTTTTCTAGATTTAGACATTTTAATTTCTAAAGGGAAACTCCATACTAAAATTTACGACAAAAGATACGATTTTTCATTCCCTATTGTTAATTTTCCTTTTTTAGACGGCGATGTTCCTTTGGCTCCATCATACGGTGTTTATATATCCCAACTCGTTCGTAATGCCCGCGTGTGAAGTGATGTCATTGATTTTAACGAACGTAATCAATGCATCACTGGTAAATTATTAAGTCAGGGATTTCGTTTCCATAAATTACTTAAAACTTTTACTAAATTCTTTCATAGATACAAAGATTTGATCTGTAAATTTGGTTGTACCTGTCGAAAAAACAGTATTTCACATCCTAAATTTAACGGTAATATTGTACTAAAAGCGCGGAAATAACTATGCGATCCGTGTAAACTAATCGAACCTTTAAACACATTTATTAGTAAAGGTAAACATAACTAAATTTGTATTCTTTTCAAACGTGTTTTTTTGAGATGTATAAATACAAATCCACGTTCATTTTATATATAGAGATAACTCTATTTATATATAACATTATACATATTTATTAAAGGTTAACTCCTAAGTATCCTACTGCCTGTCGATACTTTTTTTTTTTTTGGCATTGCACAAGTCATGTTTTCTTTGACTGTCCATGACGTTAAAACACTAAATCCCTGGGATGTGTTTTAGTTGATTTTAGTCTCTGATGCATGATTTTTTATTATTAACTGATTTTGGATTTTAACTAGCTTTCAGTAACTGCGAGTACTCTCAAATCGTACTTTTGTGTTAATTTGACCTGTTGATACAATTTGTAATGTATGTTTGTTATTTTAATGTTTACTTATTCAGTGTTATATCTAGTCTAACTATTTTTAATACAAACCACCTTTGATAAGTGTTTAGTATGACGATAAATTTTCACTTTTGTTCTCGTACTAGGAACAACAAAATTGTTTATTTTTTTAAAATTATTTCCGTACTCCATGTATACCTTACAACACAATTATTTTAATTTACCTGTGTACGTTATTTTATTTGGCGGCATTTTGTCCAAGGTTATGGTTGTCTTTCTGATATTGTTTTACATCTCACTCTTTTTTTTATTAATTTTGTATTTACATTGTGTTATAGTTAAAATTTATTCGTTCAGTGTATGTTCACTTGTTTTTGTTAATATATCTTTTGATTGAGTTAAGCCATTTCAATTGATATTTTATAGAGTGTCTTTCTATGTTGTGATGTTACACTATTGTTTCAGGTTAGGGTGAAGGTTGGCGCCTATTAAAACGTTGTTTGCACCTGTCCTAAGTCAGGAATCTGATGTTCAGTGGTTGTCGTTTGTTGATGTGGTTCATAAGTGTTTCTCGTTTTTTATATAGATTAGACCGTTGGTTTCCCCGTTTGAATGGTTTTACACTAGTCATTTTGGAGGCCCGTTATAGTTTGCTGTTCGGTGTGAGCCAAGGCTCCGTGTTGAAGGCCGTACTTTGACCTAAAATGGTTTACTTTTACAAATTGTGACTTGAATGGGGAGTTGTCTCATTTGCACTCATACCACATCTTCCTATATCTATAAACATAAAAGCCAAATCTATATTAGGTAAACTTTATGTGAAAGAGTTGGAACCTTAGTTTCAAAATCTATAAACTAACAATTTAATAAAGGTATGTAATAAATCATGTCAGTAACGAAACACTGACTACTTGGCTTATGACACCCTCCGGGACTAATAGTTCTCCAGCACCGGAACTGCAAAACTATATAGAAATGGAAATAACACTTGAGAAATTTTCAACATTCGACGTGTTTTCTTATTTTAACATTTATCAAGAACACTCTTAACCAAATATTGTAAAACAAAGGATGTATATAATACCAATACACGTGACAAGCTATATGACCAAAAGGAACCTAAAACAAAGAGCCGAAAAATATTTTGTTGACGGTAGGACTATCAACAAAAACAGACATGAAGAGTCAATGTTAATGCTGATAAAATTGAGAATGGAAATGGGGAATGTGTCAAAGAAACAACAACCCGACCAAAGAGCAGAAAACAGCCCAAGGCCACCAATGGCTTTCACTTTCGAAAGTATTGTCTTTTTGAGTAGACGTTCAATAGGGAATCATTTTAATATTATTGGATATGTTAAGACATTCCGTATATCAAAAATGGTAAATAATAAACACCCTGTCGAGAATGGGCGATATGTGTGCATTGCAGGAGAGAATACACATGTCGCCTGTGTGAAATACACAAACAAGTTGTGTATGCGACAGATTGCGTTATCTCATTATATTTTCATTTTATATCAAATTTTAAAGAAACGAATAAATAAATTGGAAATGACTGTAATAATCTCAAACATGAAATTCTAATTAGGTTGCAACTGACGAAGCTGTCGGAGCAAATAAAACCTTGTGACTGCTAAAGATATAAAGATAGAATATCTCTCAGTAACATTTTCCTTCATTTTTACACTATTATTTATGTGATGCTGTTTTTACCATATATATTAGTACCTCACAGCTGAAAAACTGTTGTATGTTTTATTTTTTATTGTTCTGTGACCATTGCATCAGCATTGGTTTCTCAAAAAAAACGGATGTATGTGTAGAGGAAGTTAAATGCTCAGGAGATAAGATAATGCAATAAACTTGAGATGCAAAAGCGAAAATATATATGTGAACAAAGATTACAAATGTTTTAAACACAATAGAATGAAAAAATAATAGCAATGCTCTTTTTTCTATAGTAATTTCAGCGAGATCGACTGGTTTCCGTTTAGGTTTTTTAGCTTTACTTGTGGTGACAGCCTTAACAGGTTTGTTAAATAAGCGAACATATGTTTATTTATTTTATTGTCATAGGCTATTTCAATGAAACAAAACCGATGTATATATTCCTGAAGCGAAAAAATAAAAACAAATTAAAAACTATCAAGGGCAAAGAAATATCATCAATTATGTCTTAACTGGCATAGGAAGATATTAATCAGATGACTTTGCAGAAAGAGAGGCAAAAGATACATGTATCTAAAGGAACATTCAAAATCGAAATAAACTTACAATGTCATGGCTAAAAAAGAAACAGACAAACAACAGTACACAAAACACAACATAGAAAACTAAAGACTGAGCAACACGAACCCTATCAAAAACTGGGGGTGCTCCGGAAGGGTAAGCAGATCCTGCTTCATATGTGGCATCCGTCGTGTTGCTCATGTTAGTACAAACACAGTAAAAAGTCTAAATCGGTATTTCACATTCGGGAAAATGGAAGGGATTGTAGTTACGACAATTGTAACATATCCGTCGTCATCTCTGGAACAGATATTCCATAACGGTCAACCAACTAGTGGTGTTGTCCGTAACATTTACGAAGGAACTCTTGGTTTAATAGCTTCCTTGTGAGTAGCAACCCTCTATCAAGGAAATCATGATAGGAAATACAAGTCCTGGAATATCGTATCAACTGGGATATATATACTCCGTATGTAGGTGCTGCTGGAATGTTGCTAATTATAGAAATGGAAATTTCACAATTGGAAAGCTGAAATCGTCTCTTTAATCGTAAAGTTATGTTTTCAACCGACCCTTATTGTCAATTTCTAGATGTAAGTCAAGATATGAGGCAGACTTAACTGTATCTGTTGTATCCTTTATTTCAAGTTCGATGGGATAGATGCGTACAACATAGTCACAAAATTTTGAATAATTTAGTTATAAAACATCATCTATATAGCGGAAAGTAAGTTAAATGATACTGCTTACTTCTTTTCTTTATATGAAGTCAGCCTCATATGAATAAAGGAACAAGTCGGCAAGAAGAGGAGCACAGTACGTTCCCATGGGAATGCCGAATGTTTGTTGAAAACCACATCCTCCAAACGTAATACATATGTTGTCAATCAAGAATTCAAGCAGCTTGATAATGTCAGTTTCAGAGAATTATTTTTTTGAATCGGAGTGATTTTTTACTAAGTACGATTTATCCCTCCCGAATACAAGATACTTGTATCTACGTTGGCCATTTGTTTTAATGAAACAAAGCAGGACCGACTCTTTCAATTTGTCTTTTAGTTCAGAATGGGGAATACTTGTGTAAAGTGTAGAAAAGTCAAATGTTTTAATTTCTATGTATGTTGGCGTTTGTTTTTGTAGCATCTCAGTGTTTCTGTTGTTCCGTTATTTTCCTCTTATAGTTGATGTGTTCCCCTCGGTTTTGGTTTGTGACCTGGATTTGTTTCAGTTAAATCGATTGATGACTATTGAACAGCGGTATACTTATGTTGCCTTTATTCAATACTATTGCAAGATGAAAGAGTCTTAGATTGTATGTATCCATAAGATCTTTGGATTTTTTTAGTATCAACATTTGATTCACTCCACCTCTAGAATAGGTAGTTTCACAATTTGACGCCCGGCTTTGATTGTTGATAAATTTGATGTTAATAATTTAGAAAGAGGTTTTGTGGAGCGCACGGAAGACCCTGTTTGTAAGGATATAGCGTATAGAAGCGCAAATAGTTCGGATTACTGCGTAATAATTATCTTTTCAAGTATCTCAAGCTTAAAGACCTTTAAGTTTGTAAAATTGATATAAACAACGACAATTGAGTCCAATTTTCACTCTATAGCAGTAATTACTCTACTAGAGTTAGCGACTTTAATAAGTATCAGATCAGTAAAAACACTTTAAATGTAACTCACATTGAAACAGAACTGTATTACTCTGCAACATTACATCTGTTGTTTCATTTTTTCAAACTTTTCAACATTCTCCTTTTTAGTTTGAATATTGTAAGCATTAACTGGTGTCGCCGATATTTTCAATGGATAGGAAATCATTTAAAATTAAAATAATATGAAAATGAAGTACAAATTATGAATTATGTTTTTTACAGGTTTAATTTTGAAATTTGGATCTATCGAGATTAAGTTTGTTGGGGCAATAGACATTGGAACAACATCCTCTGTGTATGCTTATTGTTCTGCTGCTAATACTTTGCTTCAGCGAAATACTGACACAAATATAAAGCTTAACAAACTATGGAACTCAGGCGATAGAGATCTATTGTCTTTTAAAACACCGACATGCATTTTGCTAGATAAAAACTTTGATGTTGTTTCTATTGGATATGATGCTCAAAAGAAATATAGTGATCATATTTATGATAACGAGGCAACAGATTTCCATTTTGTTGACAAATTCAAGATGGAGCTGTACCATAACGAGGTAATATTAATAAATGAGGATCTGGGGTATATGTCAATGGAACAGAAATCCAACAACATACAAAGATGTATAGACATTAATATGTTTTAATTTATATTGGCTTACCGTTGTCATTTGAATTAAATTGAATATACATTTGATTTGACCGATTTGCAACTAAGCTATTGGATTTCACAAAACAAACATCTATACAAATAGATAAGCACTGTTTCCACCCAATTTCAATTTTGGTTATGTTTTCCATATACCAAAATGATATGCGTTATTTATTATAGCATTTCTTAAATCTCAGCTTAAACTGAGGGGGGGGGGGGGGGTTGACAGGTGCTTAAGAAGAAATGTCTCTGATGTTAAAATACGTTTACGAAATACAAAATGCTTATATATCAATGGATATATAGAGGCATAATTTACCAATGAGACATTCAAAAAGACAAACAATTTAAAAATAAGGGGACATGGTAAGATTGCCAATGAAACAACTATTTACTAGAGATTCAAAAGTAGATGTAAGCAATTATAGGCAAATGTAAGGTCCTCAACAATAAGAAAAACCCATACCGACATAATAAATCTGAAAGAAGCCAAACGAGGAAACATACGGCCTAATTCATAACAAAACAATTAACGAAAAACAAGTTTGCAAGCAATACATTTATAATTTATAACTTAAGACTGAACAACAAGGTCCCAACTATAAGTGGTGGTGATCGCATGTACTCCTGAAAGGTTGGCAGATCATGCTGCACTCGTGGCACCCGTCATGTTGTTCATTACTATAGTACAAATGACTCTAAATCGAGGACAAGATGAAGGGATTATGGAAGAGATAATTGTCTCATATTTGTGGTCATCTGTTACATAGATATTCCATAACGGCCAACCAACTAATGGCGTTTCAAAGGGACATGCTAGAATTTTGCTACAGAGAAATCGAAAATTCACCAACGAAAAACTGTAGTTATCACTTTTGTAGTTACTTTTGTTTTCAACCGACCTCATTGTTATTTCAAGATATAAGTCAAGATGTGAGACAGTCTGTATCCGTTATGTCTCTTATTTCCATTCGACAGGATAGATGCTTTAAACATAGTTGAATTATTTAAGTGACATCATCTAAATAGCGGAATCAATTGAAATTATAGGATAATGCTTTACTTGCTGTATTGAGCACAGTTGGTTACCATACGAATGATGAATGTGAAATAGACGTCTTCAAAACAAATATGTTGTCTATAAACAAAATTCAAGCATCTTCAGTTGGTAATATACTTTGCAGAGTTTTTATGTTTGAAAAAGAGATTTTTAACATAGGATGATTTATCCAATCTTTAAACAAAATGTTTGGGTAGACGGTGGCAGATTGTTTTTATAGATACAAAATTGGTATATTCTTTTAATCTGTCAAAGTTAAGAATGAGGAATGCTAATAAAGGTTAGAGAAGTCGAATTGTTTTATATTACTGGGAAGGTACTTTTATTCGTGGGTATCGATTTTCATGGATTTTTAAAATTCCCTTAGTTCGTTCGTTTTTGAATTCGTGGATATTATTAGAGCATTTTAGTTTTAAATGGAAATTTTACATTTCGTTGGGAATTTGAATTCGTGGTTGAATCCAATCACGAAAACCACGAAAATGAGTACCCCACGAACAAAAGTACTTTCACAGTATTGCAAGAGGAAAGAGACTTCTATTGTACGTTCTCTTACAGGTCCTTTTATTATCAACATCTGTTTCACACAGCCTTATAATTGGTAGTTTCACACAAACTCTGAATCCCGACTCTGATTGCTTATACAATTGATGTGTATTGTTTGGAAAGAGGTTTCGCTGAGCACTTGGATAAGGCATTCTATATCTGTAACTTTGTATATATTTCATTTATTATTCTATGAAATAACTTAATTCATAAATCATTTGCACATGTCAATTCCCTACTGCTAATGCATGACCTAGGGTAAAAAAGGGATAGAAAAAAAACGATTCAAGTATAATTCACAACGTTAAAGACATGAATCTGCATACAATAACTTCGGATTGCCTCAGGGACTCAAATTTGCTGATCAGTTCCTGTTCAAAAGTTTCATTGGCTAATGTTGTAATATTCTTGTTCAATTCAACATAGATATAAAAAAATTGATCAGATTAACAAACTATTGTGTGTTTCTATAGTAATGTTTTGTGAAAGTATCATTGTGTAATGTGTTGATAGTAAAAAGTAAAATAGCAAAAATACCGAACTCCAAGGAAAATTCAAAACGGAAAGTCCTTTATCAAATGGAAAAAGCAACAAGCTCAAATACAGCAAACGAACGGAAAAAATGAAAACAACACGTTATAAATTCCATGCGTCCAAAGCGCTTTTCGGGATTTACCTTCATCGGGAACGCTCAAAACCGAATGTTTGAAAGCCAAAGATGTATAAGAACCGAAACATATGAAGAGCTTTATAAACAAAAAAAACCTCTAAACATGGCCATATCCATTTAAAACATCTGTCATATTCCTGATTTGGTACAGGCATTTCCTTATATAGAAAATGGTGGATTAAACCTGGTCTTAAAGCTACATAAACCTCTCACTTGTATGACATTCGCATAGAATTTCATTGTATTGACAACAATGTGCGAGCAAACTAAACAGACATAATAGGTAAAATTGTCAAAAAATATGGGGTACAGTAGTAAACATTGTATCATAATCTTAATCACTATAAAACAAATAACTATTTTCAACAAAGAAAAACAAAATAGCATATAGACACTCTATTGACAATGTACATAAACATAAATGAAAGACAAGAATACAAAAAATGACCATAGCACAATACCATAATGGCGGGATGTATAAATACCGACCCACGCGAAAAGGATATTACCAAAAATGGATTAACAGTAAAGGTTGAAAATATAAGAGAAATAAAAAGAACACTTTACCTCGTAATAAAGATGATAAGCAACGTCAGTACCTAGGATCTATACTTCAAGACCATCATGTATTATTTGTGAAGTTGATACGGAATATTTATCGACAAGGCCTTGGTATCTTCCGATGAACTCTTTTAGAAAAATGACGAGACGTTCTTTGACATAAGCCTGGTTTATCAACTTTCTGCTCAGAAACTGGTGACGTTTTATAAAGTCTGAGTAGCAGCTGCAAGCTTTTGAATAACGAATGAGTTGGGAAATGTATATCCCATATGCAGGTGAAAATGTTGTATTGCTGCTAAGGTGGGGGAAATTTATAATTTCAAAACTAAAATCGTCTCTCTTGTCATAGATTCTGGTACTAAGATGACCGCTTATGTCAAATTCGAGGTAAAAGTCTAAAACTGAGGCGGAGGAAGCCGTGTCTGTTGTTTCTTTAATTTCTAGTTCTTGAGGATATATCAATGGAACTCAATCACAAAAGTTTGGATTGTTAATTGAAAGAACATCATCAATATATCTGAATGTGAAATTGAATGACCTGACTTCTTTGATCTTCTTGTTTTTGACAAGTTTCGGAAGGAACTCCGACTTATAAAAATAAGAATAGGTCAACAAGAAGAGGCGCACAGTTCGTTCCAATAGGAATGTCGACAATTTGTTGAAAAAGTTTACCTCCAAATTCAATAAGAAACTCTACCATACTGATCACTTGTTCTTCTGTGTAGCATGCTTTACCTCTATGTTCACTATCAACAAACAAAATATGCCGTATGGTACCCTTAGGCAATTTATAGCGTATGCTACCATTTTAATATTGAAAAGCATTGCGGATTATATCTTTTAGGCGATTTTTCAATTTCACAAGGGGGATAATGGTATACATAAAGAAATGCCTGTACCAAGTCAGGAATATGGAAGTTGTTTTCCATTCGTTCGATGTGTTTGATCTGTTAATTTTGACTTTCCGTTTTGTATTTTCCTTTGAGTTCGATATTTTTGTTGTTATGGTGTTTACATGGTTGAAAAATCAAAAGTTTTGATAGAATTAATTTCAGAGAAAGATCGAAATTTAGAATTATCCAGAAGATTTTTTAGAATCTATATATGGTTAATACCTTTACGAGAGTTAACAGTTTCATAGTATTTCTGAAGACCCTCTTTCACTGCGGACATAAATCATCATTTAACCGATTCTATTCATTTGCATTTATGTAAATGATTTAAGGCCCATGTGTACGTTTATTATAACTGGCTTAACAACTTCTAAGTTGTTCATTGTTGATGATGCCGATGTCTCCAGTTATGACATGACCAGTGTAGCTATATATGGGAAAGATGCCCAAGAGCAATCCGGATGTTTCGATTTTAATCGCCAGAGGGTAAAGGTCTCTAAATCCCTCTTTTTGTTGAAAATATTGTTAATATTGATTGTGCCAATACCTTAATAGCGAACTTTGCTTGGAATAAAAACTACGTTCTAAGTCATCTTTGGAGATTAAGGCACAAGTTTGACTAGCCTATATAGTAAGTAATGTCCATAGTTAATGTAACCAAAAATTGTGAAAGAATTTCAGCAGAGACTATAACAAATCTGTCATTAAAACCACGTTCCTTGCAGTACAAAGTAAAAACAAGATATAACTTACAACCAGTGACGAATTTCTCGACTGGCAAATCAATAAAAATGTGGTTAAACAGGTTTTATGAACAGTTTACCTTAATCTGTGGAATAACAAAAAGTAAATAGAAAAATGTGAAAGGAAAATCAGTGTAGATGAGCGTCTGTCCATTATTTCATTTATTTAAAAAAGGCCTATAGAAGATAAGGTGATTTACTATTGACTGAAATACGCATGGTCAGTAAGATTTTCCATGTCAAAAATAAAATGCATGTATACAGGGCATGAAGGTGTTTTAAACATACTAGTAACTGGCTATTATTATAGATATATCTTTTAGGAATATATATATAATGCACGAATGTAACTAAACTATATATCAATTAAAGCACTAACTAAGCGAATTTTTAAAACAACTCATATGATTTCAATTAAAGTGAATAGGATACCGAGGAGACAATGAAAACCTGTGCTTTACTTGTTAAAATTTTAAGAAATAATACTTTCATGCCATGCTCTTTGCTCATTTAAACATGGGTAGGCATTACATTTTTCATTCAATATCTTTATACCGAGCGTTAGCAAGGTGTAAAATGTTGACAAATATAATGCCTACCCATGAGAATAGAGCATGACATGATATAATTATGTTGATTCTAATAGGAAAATTGATAACTTTTGTACTTCGAAGCGGACCTGTAATACGCGTTCGAAAGGCATCCCTTTTGATTTGATGAAGCCAACACTGTATAGAAATCAACCGTTTCACGATAAAAGAAATGAACAGATACATGTAAAATTACTTTTAGAATGATTTTATTTAATTTCCTAGCGGGCAATAACAACAACAATGTCTTTTTGATTTCCACCGTTGTTCAAAATACAACTGACGTTGTATTTCAATTATGACGTCAACTACGTGCAGCCCATGTTTTATTGGAATTAGCACCATGGCTTTGTTTCCAAAGCGAAAGAAGAACGTCATATTAGAATGATATTTATATCAGGATGACATGTCAATCGGTTATTTCGGACGTGATATCGATAGATAATTAGATGATGTCCAGTCACACAAAACGCTCGACATGTTGATATTTTATAAACTTTGCATGCATTATTTATTCTTTGACTACTATGGAATTTTTGTAATGTTGATTAACGTTCATGCTTGTGATATTTTGTCTGAAATAGGATTCGCACGGCGATTGATGCATCGATAGACGGCTAGCATGTCAACGCCCTCGGTCTCACTCCTTTGGGAATTCATTCTACTCCATGAGTTCTTGCCTTGATTTGTATTTTCACAGATTTATGAGTTTGAACATCGGTGAATGTAATAAATCCAATTTGAGAGATCAATTAATAATTCAGTTGGCATTCATTTAGAATCTACGGCCGCTTTAAATTATTAAAAACGAATTTCTATTACTATCCTTTTTTCAGGTATTTAATCAAAAGCAGTAGAATTTCTCACAGCACAAACCTGATATTTTGGTTTACAGTTTAACTATATGTAAACGGAAAGCAAAATTGCTTTTTTCCGTGGAATCATTAAAATTATCAAGAAAAATATTCAAGATCTTGAGGATAATATAACTCCTTTCTTAAGGTCTATGAACTTCACGTAAATGAATTAGTCCAAATTTTTCTCTCCCGAATAAAACAAGACATTTTATGCATTTTTAAATCTCATATATTTATTTTCAAGAATATATCGGACAAACTTCAGATAAAAGATGTGAAGGGAAAACAAATTCCTGCAATTAAGGTTTTCTCCAACATGATTTACAAACTTAAAGAACGGATGGAAATGGATATCAAAAATGAATATACAGGTAGCAGTTTTTCACCGTCGAGTATTCAGTGGGTTCTCACCATACCCGCAAAATGGACAGACCGTGCAGAAACATTCATAAGAAAATGTGCAGAAAAGGTAATCAAATCATTACTAAAACAGAGTAAACTACGACGTTCTAAATTATGTTAAAGATTTTACAATACCTAAATGAATGAAAAGATGGTTAAACGCAAATGAAACGGTAGCCAAACACAAACGGGAAATATATAAACGTCATCATATGATCTTCCCGACAATGGAGAAATCTCTAGCACGATGTATTCAAAACGTCAATGACGTATTTGAAGTCTGAAAGTATGTTATAAAAGAGAGGCGAAATATATCAAAGGGACATTCAAACTCATAAGTCGAAAATAAATCTGCCATCATTTACCTTCTCTAAAAGACAGAATATTAGCATATAATCGGTGACGAGTTTTTTAGTAGACATTTGAAAATGATGTGGAGTTAAAATAGTTTTAACGAAACCCGCTATACAATTTTAAATACTAGTAATACACAACTTATCGTATTAATTTGATATCATGCTATTAAATTCTAATTTCGGAAAATAAGCAAGTTTATCATGTTTAAATAGGCAGGAATTCGTAGTGACCAGTTGATGATTATCGTAGAATCGGAATCAGCATCAGTATATATTCATCATTTACTTATCTGTAACAAACTTGATCTACCCTTGAAGGAATTACCAACAGAGTACCTAGTAATTGATTTAGGAGGTAAACTTTTATTATTCAAAGAAGGTTAATGCTCAATAAAGCAAATGTCAAAACACAACAAAGCAGCAGTTATTGCAATTTTAATATACCCGACACAAGAGGGTTTTTATAGTGTTGCTTCCATTTGGTTTACCCATGTATTTATATTTTAGTTAATTTTTATTTCATAGAAAATATGTATACTATCCACTTCAACACCTTTTTTGTTGGTGTCTTTGTTAGATTTATTTCTATGCTTTTTTTTTTTTATTTTTTAAGTCAGTTGTGTTGTATGTCAGTGATGTATGCTTACACAATTTTGGCTGCTGTATCCCAATTATTGTCACATAGACCTATTATGCCTGTTTGGGTTGCTCACCCAATTTTGTCAATATAACGGAACTGTAAACAAATACCATACAAGGGGGAGGTTTACCTAGCTATAAAACCAGGTTTAACCCACCATTTTCTTCCAAAAATTCCTGTACCAAATCCGACAAATGAGTTGTTTTTCACTCGTTCCGTTGGTTAAAAAAGTTTGATTTTGTCAGCTTTTATAGACTTTCCCTCTTTGAATTTACCTTTGAGTTCGGTATTTTTGGTATACATTTTTCAAATTTTCTAATATTTTTTTGAAAATACTTCTCTGGTATTCACAGTGGAAATTAAAAGGTCAACTGCATATTATCACGTTACTTTTATGATTACTTATATCTGTACCTTTGTTCAACTTTTGGACTTCTACAAGATCTTTTAGAAAGACATTAGGTAACAAGAGTGATTTCGTCAACAATGTACATAAAACAGATCTGTCAAGTAACAATATACGTTTAACAAAACTCTGAACAGTATGATAAGGAAAATAAAGTGACTGTCGCTAGCTTTACCTTATATCAATTGATATATGACCAAAAAAAATCTACGTATTCAGTCATTAGCTTTTTGAAAGTCAACAAATGCATGATAAGTTGATTGTTTTCTAGTTTTTATCATGTTACTTAGTGTATTCAAATAATCATCCGCGCTATATAGAGACAAATCAAGGTAACAAACAGAAACTGAGGGAATCGCATGAACTCCAAAATAATCGAGACCGGGTGTTTTTTTCACTGCACAGTTTTACGTCAAAATATTTTTCGAATATTTTTTTACAGGAGGTACAAACGACATTACTGCACATAAGATTTCTAAACGTGGCAAGTTGAGAGAATTATGCAAGCCATCCGGAAATGTACATGGTGGGACGAAAGTCGACAAATATCTTTTTTCGTGTTTTGAGAGGATAGTTGGTGATGAAGTTGTCCACGCTCTCAAAGATAAAGGCAGTTATCTAGAACTACTAGAACAATTTGAAAGTGTAAAAAATTTCATAACATCATCAACTGCCAAGAAAGTTGCATGCAAGATTCCTTTAAATCTTCTTAACGAACTTTGTGAAAAATATAATAAAAAATCCTTCAACGTTTTACTTGAGGCATCAAAGTACTCACAGAATATGTCACTTGCTAATGACAGATTGCGAATAGATAGACCATTTATTGAGAGATATATTTCCGAAGTTGCATCGGGTATAATGAAAGACATAAAGTATGTGTTGTTTGATAAAGCACAATCAAGAAATATAAGTACGTTTTTTGTTGTTGGCGGCTTTTCGAATTCAAAACTCGTAAGACAAAAACTTTCTGACGAGTTTCCTAATGTTGCTATCATATATCCTCCGGACAATGTTGAACTTGCTGTAGTAAGAGGAGCTGTTATGTATGGGAAAAATCCTAATTATATAAAACCAAGCTCAAACAAGGCACACTTACGTTGAATAAATGAGTCTTTAAGTTGCTTAATATTTCTTAAATCTTTGAGGAGAACAAAGCCTTGATATTTTTTGACAAAATGTAACAGAAACTTTGTTGTTCTAGGCCTAATTACAAATGTGCCTGGAATCGAACGATAGTAATACAAATATATATAAAAGAACTATTTTATGTTTGGATGTAAAACAAGCCACAATCAATCAATATTTCTACTTGCGATGTGTCTGTTGTATGTTTTGCTTGATTGAACGAGAGACCGATTTATTAATTTTTTTTACAGTTGAGAGAATATTAGTGTAATTGTTAATTTAAATTGTAAACATATTTCTCAACACAAAAGGAACAAAATGTTTATATTTCTGTACCGTGTACACTTCGAAAGCTTGTCTATATCAATATCCACGAGGTTTGCTACAAATTTGACAATGGATCCAAAATGTTCTATTTCTAAATTATGATATTATCTAACTTAAATCATCAAAATGTCAACGAGAACTGAAATATGTACAACAGCTTTTTGTGTTAATAGTTTAATCTATCTACATCTGTTCTACATCATCTATATACAACTAATCCAAACTGGTATATTTAACCAAAGTATCCAGCATTGTCTTAGTATATGAAGTGACGAATGACGCCAAATAGCCTATAAACAACTCAAATATTCATAAAGAAGGGGTGCAAATAGTTTCAAGTCACAATTATTCACTGACGTTCAGATATTGAAATGTTTAGACATTTACCGCAATTTGATATGATCTAGCCACTGAATTTTATCATATGTAATATTCTAGTAGCAGCAAATTGTCCTATTGTTTTAAAGAATTTTAAAATGAAAAGGTGCCATCCAGATATACCCATAAATTGCACAGCGTTTAATCAGTTGAAATGAAAGAAATAAAACGATAAATATCTATAGCAGCGTTCCTTCCTTTAGTCAAGATCTGTTTATGGGTTGCACTAACAACTGTTACTACCCGTTCTCTATATATACGACAGATGTTCAGCATCAGATATGTAAAACCATTTGTGGTATAGTATAGATATTTAGTCACCATATTCTTACATTCGGCAGAAAAATTCCGTCTCATCATTAAGGATATATCAATAAGCAGTCACGTTAATTCAAAATTGGAACATTACACCCTATGTCCTTTGGATGAGTATCACTATCTGCACATTCAAGAGCTGTTGCAACAAATCTTTCAATTTATTCAAGACAAAACAATTATAAACATAATCACTGTAGATTTGTCGAGAAAAAAAAGTGTCAACAATTCCGTCTTAACGTCTAGGGACATTGTTAAATATTGTTTCCAGAAACGTCTTTCATTTTTGTTTTACAAAATCTTCATCACGACATTGCTTTAGTCGTTTGAGTTTTTAACACTTAAGTTTGTAATTTCGATATTATAACTAAATTTGTCATGCTAAAAAATGGCTAAAAATAACGATGCATAAAGGTGTGTGGGATTAAGGTTGATAATACTCAACTGTAATTTTGAATGAATTACATGTACTATAATAGGAATGTAAAACTAACGAACAGTCCATGTTTACTTTTGATTGAACCTTTTCTTTGGAAGATCAGTAAATAATAACAAAGATACTCAAACTAAAACTGTAGTCCGAGTAATTTGTTTATACTACAGTTGTGCGATAATTAAGATTGATTATGGTTTAAAGAGATATATCTCAAGCCAAATCCAGATTCGACTGCAGGTACAGCTGTATATTGTTTCCATAAGTAACATTTTTAATTTTGATCATGATTGTCTTCCAATGCCAAATTTACCAATCATGGAACATTTTGAATATCAAAAAAGCGGCTCTATTTTAAGTATTTGTATTTATGCAAAACATCGATTTTAATCTTTTAGTTTAAAATACCACTATTTGCGTCAGGTTTCGGATTGTGACTCGGGGCCAGATATCTGTATTTATGCCCTTAATCCTTCTAAATGTCTTGTTATTTATATTATACATGTTATAGCCATTAGAGATTAAGTGTACAATTTATAGTGTAACTTCAATGTTACATCTGCAAGTATAAGTGTTGAGTGGAAATATTTCAACATACTTTATGACAGAGATTATATCCTAAATTCTCCCACATTTAACTTAGTGTATTATTCTCGATACCGGAAATTTTTAGTTAACTATTTGTGTCAGTTCTGAATACGTATCATTTTGATTGTATGTATTGTTTTAAATCAAATATTTCCTTGATCAAAATGGCTGTTCAGAAAAAAATGAAATTTTTCATCATGCTTTGGTGGTTAAGTCTCTTCGGAAATTCTAAAACCGATGAATGCCATCGGATGAGGTAAATTTGTCTTACTATTCACGATAGACAACAGTAATTCAAAAAGACGTGTGGAGAGAAATTGGATTCATACATCTTTATATATGGAACGGAGTAGGATTTCTAAAATGATAACTTGTTTTGGAAGCGTTTTTAATCTTTTTCGGGTTTAATAATAGAAAAATAGATACCTTTTTAAATCTTAATCATTATTGTCAGTTTTTTCTATAATATCATATATATGTATCTTCATCTTCTATAAGAATATTTGCAATAGTAAACCCAGAGACAAAGGTGCAATTGAAGACTACAAGACGAAAAGTAATGTTTCTATATATTCTTTATATACATATAAACAGTATGTTGAGTCAGAACAGCCATTTCAAAAACGTATAACGGCCAACGTAGTGACTATGAACCTGGCCACATGAGTCTTAATCGACTGAATATTACCATCATAGACCATAACACAAGGGAGAAGAGATTCACTCGGAAAAGATTTTGAATAAGGAAATTAAAAACGTTGGCACCAACTGGGATCAATGAAAATGTGTAGTTCTAATCGCGCAGTGCTATTCATCTTCATGCCTTATATATCATGTACTGTGTTACAACGCTAGATAAAAACTGACGAGGAAAGGTAACACCCGGCCACCGAAAGCTTGATTTGTGTCGAGCCTAGGTGGTTGAGTGGTCTAGCGCGCCGGGCATAGTGCAAGGCGATTTAGTGCCACGATATCTCAGTAGCATGAATTCGAATCCCGGCCAGGGAAGAACAAAAAATTTGCTTCCGCAAATTTACAGATCTAAAAAAGTCTAAACTGAAAACAACGTTCAAACCTATGATTGCGTTGGATAAAAACCGCAATTTTTATACGTGTGCATGTAAAACAAATTTCTTGGTAGAAGGGTCTAAATATAGCACAAACAACAATTTCCAAAAGACCAAAAAAAGTGAAAAAGTCTATTTTAACAAAACGCATTTGACTAACAGGTCAAACAACTGATGTTCTTAAACCCTGCTGACTGCCATTGGCGATTGCCAAATAAATTGATCACCAGATCTAACAAAATGGATCTTAATATTAATTAAATACCAAACAGAAAACAATAAAGTTGTGGAAAAGATGGTATACCACAAACATGAGGTGCAAAAATTTGTACACCATATCCGGATTTCGACAATAAATGTCTCTTCAGTGATGTTAGGGATCGAAACGGTATTTGGAAGGCCATATAATTTACCTCAATTCAGGATAGACTCTTGAATTTTTAAGAGTCTAAATAGGATGAACGGATCATATCAACCCGAAGGAAAATATAATACAAGCCCAAACGAAAAAATATAAAAAGTCTAAATTGAAAACAACGTTCAAACCTATATTTGCGTTGGATAAAAACCGCAATTTTTATACGTGTGCATGTAAAACAAATTTCTTGGTAGAGGGGTCTAAATACAGCACAAACAACAATTTCATATATATATATATGCTTTAAACTGTCAGGAGCCTGTTGTTCAGTGGTTGTCGTTTGATGGTGTGATTCATAGGTGTTTCCCATTTCTCGTTTTTTATATAGATTAGACCGTTGGTTTTCCTGTTTGCATTGTTTTACACTAGTCATTTTGGGACCCGTTATAGCTTGCTGTTCGGTGTGAGCCAAGGCTCTGTGTTGAAGGCCGAGCTTTGACCTATAATTGTTAACTTTTTATACATTTTGACTTGGATGGGGAGTTGTCTCTTTGGCACTCATACCACATCTTCTTAATTATATTTAAGAATCTTCGCAGATTTTAAAAAGGGAGAAGGTAGCAAAATGGCAATCAAAATAAATCATAAGACGGAAAACAATACAATACTATGGCAAAAAAAGAAAATCAACGAATGCAGACAGAAATTTGCAAACCACTACAAAGAAACGAAAGATTAGATAACAGAAACCCACCAAAATTGAGAATTAACTCAGGTCTGCTCCAAAAGGGTTAGCTGCTGCTGTTTCTACTTTATTAGTGACACCTGACTTGTGACTCGTGTTTACATACATTGATGATTCATATCCAGTAATAAGGCATATTGATAAAGGTTTCTTGCATAACTTAAAGATATTGCCAAATTTAAAACCCATCGGTACATTCAAATTCTCTAGCCCTAAACATGGACGAATGTGAAAGTTTTTACTTGAATAGATAGAAAAATAACAAACTTTAAAAAATAGTACAGGACAAACTACAACAAACAAAAAATAAAGCAAAACCAACACAATCCTCGTTAAAACACATATATGGGGGAACACATGGTGGATCTAAGTTGCTCTGCTACACAAGAAGAATCCGCCGTGTAAATAATTGCTGGTAAAATTCAGTGATAAAAAACATTTGAAAATGTTACAATCGAGGAAAAGAGAACGGAACTGTGGATAATATAAGCGGAACATCAGTATTCATCTGTGACACAGATACACTGCAATAGTGAACCAAATCACTATGGATCAACTCATTATGGGGTTCTTATTACTTTCGAAGGGATTTCTTCAACATTTGGAACCCTTGGTTCAATAGTTGTTTTTTGTTTTTGTTTCTTGGTAAGCTAAAAACCTCTATTAAGTAAATCGAGATAAGAGCATCTAACCCATACATCTTATATCGTATTAACTGGGAAAATGTACTCTATATTGCTAAATAATTAAGGTCGATAAGCATGTACCGTAAACAGGACTGTTGTGTAGTATGTATTTAACAGTAGTCGTTTCGTGTACAATTTCTGTTACTCTAAATATTTAGGAATGGTAAATTAGAAAGGTATTGCTGTAACAACCACGAAGACCATTATGGAATTTGTGAAGGTGAGATATTTTAAATTTTCTTCTATCATTAATGTAATTCTGTTAGCCTTTAATATGATAACTCACTATTGGGTATCCTTTATTTTGAGTTTAAAAGTGTTGGAAAGCAAGTGGCATACTAACAAATATGATTGAGAAGTGACCGCAAATATTCTGTGGAATCAAATCAGTTTATTTTTAATCCCTCGAACAAAACGTGTTACCACTTGTTGAGATAAAGATCACTAGTTAGACAAAATTTGATTCGTATTTGGCCTTTCGGTCTTAAAAATTTCGAGTACGATTATTATACTCAGACTCAGAATCCAACCATTCAAAGTACCGGATTTGTTGTTTCGTGCAGAAATTATGTACTGCTTCGAGTACTGAGTAAAGTTTTGTGGCCGAGAGCCTTAATATTCAGGGCAATTAGTGAATCAGAGTAGAGTTAGCATTATGCAGTTGGATATTGACTTAAATCTGGTAAATAACAATGGGAATGAAAATTGGTTGAAAACTAAACTTTATGTCAAAATATGATTACAGCTTTCGTATGGTGATCCTTTCGTTTTCATGTAGCAATATTCCAACAGTCAGTATATTGTGTCACATGGATATGTCCGATTCTAGGAGAAACAAAATTTGATTCGTATTTGGCCTTTCGGTCTTAAAAATTTCGAGTACGATTATTATACTCAGACTCAGAATCCAACCATTCAAAGTACCGGATTTGTTGTTTCGTGCAGAAATTATGTACTGCTTCGAGTACTGAGTAAAGTTTTGTGGCCGAG